GCGCGCTGGCGGGCGGTGAGCACGGCCATCATGGAGTCGTGTCCGCGCATCATGACGCCCAGCACCTCCTGCTCGCTGGGCTCCGCGCCCTGTAGTACTGACCTGCAAGGCGCGCTGGCGGGCGGTGAGCACGGCCATCATGGAGTCGTGTCCGCGCATCATGACGCCCAGCACCTCCTGCTCGCTGGGCTCCGCGCCCTGTAGTACTGACCTGCAAGGCGCGCTGGCGGGCGGTGAGCACGGCCATCATGGAGTCGTGTCCGCGCATCATGACGCCCAGCACCTCCTGCTCGCTGGGCTCCGCGCCCTGTAGTACTGACCTGCAAGGCGCGCTGGCGGGCGGTGAGCACGGCCATCATGGAGTCGTGTCCGCGCATCATGACGCCCAGCACCTCCTGCTCGCTGGGCTCCGCGCCCTGTAGTACTGACCTGCAAGGCGCGCTGGCGGGCGGTGAGCACGGCCATCATGGAGTCGTGTCCGCGCATCATGACGCCCAGCACCTCCTGCTCGCTGGGCTCCGCGCCCTGTAGTACTGACCTGCAAGGCGCGCTGGCGGGCGGTGAGCACGGCCATCATGGAGTCGTGTCCGCGCATCATGACGCCCAGCACCTCCTGCTCGCTGGGCTCCGCGCCCTGTAGTACTGACCTGCAAGGCGCGCTGGCGGGCGGTGAGCACGGCCATCATGGAGTCGTGTCCGCGCATCATGACGCCCAGCACCTCCTGCTCGCTGGGCTCCGCGCCCTGTAGTACTGACCTGCAAGGCGCGCTGGCGGGCGGTGAGCACGGCCATCATGGAGTCGTGTCCGCGCATCATGACGCCCAGCACCTCCTGCTCGCTGGGCTCCGCGCCCTGTAGTACTGACCTGCAAGGCGCGCTGGCGGGCGGTGAGCACGGCCATCATGGAGTCGTGTCCGCGCATCATGACGCCCAGCACCTCCTGCTCGCTGGGCTCCGCGCCCTGTAGTACTGACCTGCAAGGCGCGCTGGCGGGCGGTGAGCACGGCCATCATGGAGTCGTGTCCGCGCATCATGACGCCCAGCACCTCCTGCTCGCTGGGCTCCGCGCCCTGTAGTACTGACCTGCAAGGCGCGCTGGCGGGCGGTGAGCACGGCCATCATGGAGTCGTGTCCGCGCATCATGACGCCCAGCACCTCCTGCTCGCTGGGCTCCGCGCCCTGTAGTACTGACCTGCAAGGCGCGCTGGCGGGCGGTGAGCACGGCCATCATGGAGTCGTGTCCGCGCATCATGACGCCCAGCACCTCCTGCTCGCTGGGCTCCGCGCCCTGTAGTACTGACCTGCAAGGCGCGCTGGCGGGCGGTGAGCACGGCCATCATGGAGTCGTGTCCGCGCATCATGACGCCCAGCACCTCCTGCTCGCTGGGCTCCGCGCCCTGTAGTACTGACCTGCAAGGCGCGCTGGCGGGCGGTGAGCACGGCCATCATGGAGTCGTGTCCGCGCATCATGACGCCCAGCACCTCCTGCTCGCTGGGCTCCGCGCCCTGTAGTACTGACCTGCAAGGCGCGCTGGCGGGCGGTGAGCACGGCCATCATGGAGTCGTGTCCGCGCATCATGACGCCCAGCACCTCCTGCTCGCTGGGCTCCGCGCCCTGTAGTACTGACCTGCAAGGCGCGCTGGCGGGCGGTGAGCACGGCCATCATGGAGTCGTGTCCGCGCATCATGACGCCCAGCACCTCCTGCTCGCTGGGCTCCGCGCCCTGTAGTACTGACCTGCAAGGCGCGCTGGCGGGCGGTGAGCACGGCCATCATGGAGTCGTGTCCGCGCATCATGACGCCCAGCACCTCCTGCTCGCTGGGCTCCGCGCCCTGTAGTACTGACCTGCAAGGCGCGCTGGCGGGCGGTGAGCACGGCCATCATGGAGTCGTGTCCGCGCATCATGACGCCCAGCACCTCCTGCTCGCTGGGCTCCGCGCCCTGTAGTACTGACCTGCAAGGCGCGCTGGCGGGCGGTGAGCACGGCCATCATGGAGTCGTGTCCGCGCATCATGACGCCCAGCACCTCCTGCTCGCTGGGCTCCGCGCCCTGTAGTACTGACCTGCAAGGCGCGCTGGCGGGCGGTGAGCACGGCCATCATGGAGTCGTGTCCGCGCATCATGACGCCCAGCACCTCCTGCTCGCTGGGCTCCGCGCCCTGTAGTACTGACCTGCAAGGCGCGCTGGCGGGCGGTGAGCACGGCCATCATGGAGTCGTGTCCGCGCATCATGACGCCCAGCACCTCCTGCTCGCTGGGCTCCGCGCCCTGTAGTACTGACCTGCAAGGCGCGCTGGCGGGCGGTGAGCACGGCCATCATGGAGTCGTGTCCGCGCATCATGACGCCCAGCACCTCCTGCTCGCTGGGCTCCGCGCCCTGTAGTACTGACCTGCAAGGCGCGCTGGCGGGCGGTGAGCACGGCCATCATGGAGTCGTGTCCGCGCATCATGACGCCCAGCACCTCCTGCTCGCTGGGCTCCGCGCCCTGTAGTACTGACCTGCAAGGCGCGCTGGCGGGCGGTGAGCACGGCCATCATGGAGTCGTGTCCGCGCATCATGACGCCCAGCACCTCCTGCTCGCTGGGCTCCGCGCCCTGTAGTACTGACCTGCAAGGCGCGCTGGCGGGCGGTGAGCACGGCCATCATGGAGTCGTGTCCGCGCATCATGACGCCCAGCACCTCCTGCTCGCTGGGCTCCGCGCCCTGTAGTACTGACCTGCAAGGCGCGCTGGCGGGCGGTGAGCACGGCCATCATGGAGTCGTGTCCGCGCATCATGACGCCCAGCACCTCCTGCTCGCTGGGCTCCGCGCCCTGTAGTACTGACCTGCAAGGCGCGCTGGCGGGCGGTGAGCACGGCCATCATGGAGTCGTGTCCGCGCATCATGACGCCCAGCACCTCCTGCTCGCTGGGCTCCGCGCCCTGTAGTACTGACCTGCAAGGCGCGCTGGCGGGCGGTGAGCACGGCCATCATGGAGTCGTGTCCGCGCATCATGACGCCCAGCACCTCCTGCTCGCTGGGCTCCGCGCCCTGTAGTACTGACCTGCAAGGCGCGCTGGCGGGCGGTGAGCACGGCCATCATGGAGTCGTGTCCGCGCATCATGACGCCCAGCACCTCCTGCTCGCTGGGCTCCGCGCCCTGTAGTACTGACCTGCAAGGCGCGCTGGCGGGCGGTGAGCACGGCCATCATGGAGTCGTGTCCGCGCATCATGACGCCCAGCACCTCCTGCTCGCTGGGCTCCGCGCCCTGTAGTACTGACCTGCAAGGCGCGCTGGCGGGCGGTGAGCACGGCCATCATGGAGTCGTGTCCGCGCATCATGACGCCCAGCACCTCCTGCTCGCTGGGCTCCGCGCCCTGTAGTACTGACCTGCAAGGCGCGCTGGCGGGCGGTGAGCACGGCCATCATGGAGTCGTGTCCGCGCATCATGACGCCCAGCACCTCCTGCTCGCTGGGCTCCGCGCCCTGTAGTACTGACCTGCAAGGCGCGCTGGCGGGCGGTGAGCACGGCCATCATGGAGTCGTGTCCGCGCATCATGACGCCCAGCACCTCCTGCTCGCTGGGCTCCGCGCCCTGTAGTACTGACCTGCAAGGCGCGCTGGCGGGCGGTGAGCACGGCCATCATGGAGTCGTGTCCGCGCATCATGACGCCCAGCACCTCCTGCTCGCTGGGCTCCGCGCCCTGTAGTACTGACCTGCAAGGCGCGCTGGCGGGCGGTGAGCACGGCCATCATGGAGTCGTGTCCGCGCATCATGACGCCCAGCACCTCCTGCTCGCTGGGCTCCGCGCCCTGTAGTACTGACCTGCAAGGCGCGCTGGCGGGCGGTGAGCACGGCCATCATGGAGTCGTGTCCGCGCATCATGACGCCCAGCACCTCCTGCTCGCTGGGCTCCGCGCCCTGTAGTACTGACCTGCAAGGCGCGCTGGCGGGCGGTGAGCACGGCCATCATGGAGTCGTGTCCGCGCATCATGACGCCCAGCACCTCCTGCTCGCTGGGCTCCGCGCCCCTTAAGATTAGCGCGTTCAAACAAACAAACAAAAAACTCTTCAGCGTTTTAATATGAACTTGTTGTTGTTGATTTTTGGCGTCGAACCTTAGACCAGGCATACGGCTAGGCAACGTAGTCATGCAGGAGGATACAAGGAAGAGGGGCAGCCACAGTAGGTAACACAGAGTCGTTCAGGTGAGTGCCAGGAAGAGGTGCAGCAACCGCAGTTAAGGAACGGCTGGGACGAACAAGGATAGGCGCATCAAGCTCGTAAGCCTTGATAGGGTTACACTGGTTGAGGTGGCCCTTTTCAAGACTTGGAAGCCTGTGGGTAACAAACCATTGGACGTGGAGAGGGTCATTAATTATACGTATATTTTCTACTTTGCCGAACTTTAGCGCGAGAACGGTTTGTCCAAAACATATGAATTTGGTCTTATTCAATGCAGGATTAAGTGCCCTTCAACCGTCATGAAGACCACTTTTTGATAGGGTAAGTCCTTTACGCGGTATAACCGGAAAACCGAAAAAATGCCTCTTTCGGGGGCCACCACTTAAGCACAACTCCGTCGAAGTCGAAAACTTAGGAGAGTCTTAATGGGCAACCAATGAAGCCATTAAAACAATAAAATCTTTTGTAGGAATTATTTCCGATTTAAAAGCTAATTCTACTGGACTACTGAGAAAGTTGCTGAGTCTTGACAAAGTTACAAATGTAAAAGTTCAAAATCGCTTAGCTCTGGCGTTTTTAAATGTAAGTAGTTACTGCGCTCTGTGAAGATAAAGCAATATCGAAATTAAAACTCATGAATAGCTACAACTATTTACTAATTTAAATAAATCATATGGACCTCTTGTGGTAAGCTTATAACTTTGATCAATATTCGTAACAAAAGTTAAGTTAGTTTAAAAGTTTCCATAGCTGCTTTTCTGTTAAAGAAAAAAAATGAAATGTCTATGACTGACATTGACTTTGACACTTGACAGCAATATTGACAGCGAAAGAAAAACATGTTTGTTGACTTCATGTTCACGTGCTGATTATTTTCCATTTTAAAAATAATAATTAATATCTACATCAATCAACTTACAGTCATAAACTGCCAAAAACCATCTCCAAAGTTTATATTTTTAAGGTAAACATAATATTCAACATGTCTTCAAAAAGACCACAATTACCAAAATCAGTACTGGAAATGAAATTCATGAGAAAAACTAAGGAAAGAATAGAAAAGGAATTAGAAAATACACAAGGGCATGACAGTTTATACTCTAATATCATAACAGATGAAATGCGACACGCTTCGGGTAATTTCATAACAGAGTCCAGTTTTATATTTTGTGAGGACTTGCTTGAAGGAAGGTTGTCATACAAAGGCATGAACCCAGAAATAGAAAGGCTTATGGAACAAGATTTCAGAAACGCGAATCCTGATGGAGATATGAAAAAAGATGTATCAGATGAAATATTATTGAAGAAAATGGAACATTTCAATAGAACCAAGAAACGGGCTTATCAAACTCCCAATAAACATCATGTATCAAAAAAACGGAAATTTTAAGATGTTATAGATATGTTATTTTATATTTGGTCAAAGTTATTTTGTTGTTTTAGGTATTTGCAGTGTAATTATGACTAAATCTTAGACTTTAGAAGCTTGCTTCTATGTAATTATGTTTGTTAAAAGTGGTTATCACTAGCACAAACTCAATAAAACACTTAAATATTCAATAAACTCTTTATTATTTAAAATTTTCACATAATTTAATTCTCCTTTTACTTATTATTTCATTTACCAACAATTTTGTGGTTTTAGCCTAATTTAAGTACATTTTCATGGGTTTATAGGTTAATTTAACCAGCAACTGAATGCATATTTTTAAATTACATAATTAGTGTATTATTGTTTTTAAAATTAATCAATAGGAATCTTACATAATGTTAGATTAAATGTAATGTTACAATTTAATGACTATGTTCAAGTACCAAATATATATTTCTAGAATTTATTTAATAATCATTGGGTTGTCCTTACAAATAAGGCACTTCACTAACATCATATTACTATGATTAATCATTGTCATTTTAATTTGTTCAATGTATCAATCAAGTAGATTAACAAAATTGCTAATTTTTTATTAAAAAAAACTCCTAATTTAGAAATAACTGTCAAAATCTATTCAACATGGATAAATGCCTATCTCTAGACGCATAATACATTTCAAGGTAATTTTGCTGAATACAATAACACCCAAAACAATAACAAAGTTTACAGATTTTAGTGAAACGAAATCATTATTAACCCTTATTCAAATAAAGGTAGATATATTACCACTTCGTTTACTTTTAAAAAAGGATCGTAATATTCGATAAGGTAATACTTAAAGATATTGTGGTCACTTATTTATATTTTTAAATATATTGTTTTACATATCTATGCCATTTTATAACTTTTCAACGTCATTTGTCACTGTCAGGTAATGTCAAAGTCAACCAAACGGTTTTGTTGTGAAAAAATTCAAGTTTTTAGCGCGCGTTTTTGGTATTTTTGAAACTTTGTTCAACGAAAATTCTAATGTGTTTTTTCGATTCAAATTCCTAAACTATAACATTTATTGTATAATCTCACTTAGAGGCAGCGTCTGAAATTGATTTATTCATATAATTTAGACATTTTAAAGAAGTGGTAAATAGTTTACCACTGTCCGATCCCGTCATGACAAAAGTTTGATGATTTATAAAAAACACGGTTGTTTTTTGTATGTGCACAAATAAAACTAAATAAATATTAGGAGAAATTTTAAGTTTTTTTTATATTAACGTTTCGACGTTACGTAATTAGTGAATTGTTAGTTTCAGACTCAAGGTAAGAATAATCATTGTAAGCATAATAACTAATATTAATAAATATATTTTTTATAAAAACAATAAAATTTTTTCATTCCCAAAATATTTAATAAAATATAGGTAGAACCAAGAGGAAGTCACTAGTCAAGAACCAAAAACAAACGAAGACGGACAACTATTTTACCACCAACATTTAATAATTGGTAGGCATGAACGGATAATGGTAAATTATTTACCACCCAAAAAACTACCCCTTCCCCTATTTTTTTATTAATTTTGATCAAAAATATGAAATAAGTGACCCACAATTACCCAAAATCCACTTCAACTTTGTAAAAAAAAATGCATACCAGCTCGCATTTGAATAAGGGTTAACACAATTAATTATCATGACGTGTATGTAATTGGTAAACTAAAATGAAATTAAAAAATGTTATTCAATTTAGGATCTAATAATGTTTCTAAAGATTTATGTTTGTTTAATACTATTATTGCCAACTCAGAATTGCACCCAAATTAAGTGATAGCTAGTCAACTACATAAATTTAATCCTTAATAGAGTGAGATATCATGTTATTAGTTACAAGGAATATGGAATTTTTACTTATTTAGGGAATTTTATAATCTCATGCAAGCAACAGCTAGATACTAAAACTTTTTGCAGTCCCTACTGATTGTTATAAATGCCATAAGAAAGTCACTTCTGCGAGTTTACTCCGCAACGCTATACTCCCATTCCCGCAGGCTTATTACAGATCTTAGCGATCAGTAGCAATAAAGCAATGCAACTGGTACGCCAACCAATGACAGCGCCGCGTTCAATGAGGGCTATCGTTTTAGCGCTCACCAGTTAGCGCCACTGTAGAGTAAGGTCCTGTCACTTGCTAGTAGCGAAGACAGTGGCGCCAACTTGTGAGCGCTAAAGTCGTAGGAGGACTATCGCATTTGCTTTGCACTCATCAAGATGGCGCCTCTGTAGAGTAAGGTCCTGTCAATCGCCAGGGGTGCCAACTGTTAAGTATAAAAACGATAGCCCTCATTGCAGGTGGCGCTAGTTTCGATACATTTTTCGCAGTTGGCAACTGTTTCGTAATAACCCCGGCGGTCCTGTAGCTCGTTTAAAAGTTCATGAGAGATGTAAATGCGGCCAGTGTTACGGAGTAGCCGCGCTGGTGCAGTGTGGGCACGCGGGGCGGCGCGGCGGCGGTCAGTCGAGCCCCTGCTGCATGAGCGTGTGCAGGTCGCGGAAGGCGGCGCCGAGCCGGCCCTGCAGCGTCTGCCGCTTGAGGAGGAAGGCGCGCACGTCCAGTAGCAGCCGGTGGATCTATTATAATAAAATAAATAAGTTATTATTTTTTAAACCAGCACCCCTAGACAAAATGCACTTTTTGATGGAATCCGTCAAAACTCCATAGAAAAAAAATGCTTTTCGACTGGTTTGCGATTATAATGTGCACTTTGTCTAGATCCACAGAAACAAGTAGCCTTCACATCTGTACCCTGAGCACGAATAAATATAATAATAGTTCTCATCATGCGCGTCCATGGTTGTTTATGAAATAAACAATTACAAGAGTTATCATAACGCAGGTTATTGCAGTGGTCTGGGACTGTGTTACAGATGTTAGCATTATGTTTAGTTCAGTTCCTCAAATAGTGATGTTTTACCAATGCAAATCTACATTCTACTGTAGGACATTGTCTTTTTCTTTTGTTCAGTGATTTGGATCAAGATTCAAGACAAAAAAGAACTTCCCAGAAAAGTCTCTGCTTTGAAGTCATAACTTAGAATTGCCTTTCGAGCTGTTTTATTTTATTTTACAAGGAAAACAATACAGTGTATAAACTACGTAGACAAACAAATTATTTATGTGTGTAGTATTGTTACCTGCGCGCACTTGGCGTAGCGCTCCTCGCGCGGGATGTCGACGCCGAGCGTGCGCACGGGCGCGCTGACGTTCGCGCGCACCACCGACGAGAAGTTGCGCACGATCAGTCTCAGGGCGTTGCAGCCGCACTGCATGTATCTGGACGCGAGATAATATTATGATGCGAGGTGTTTTACAACCTAGTTCAACCAACTCGACAAAAGCTCGACAATATTATTGTTACAACAGAGCACAGTCGAGCGCTCGAAGCACGCTCATTTGAGACTCATAAATCGATCCACACTAAAGCCTGGTCCGTGAGCGCGTAGAATTTTGTTCAATGACCCGAAGCTACCCATCCTTATCGCTCGCGCGTAATTATATTGTTGTCGCGACTGTGCGACGGGCGCCCGCAGTGAGTGTGCGAGCGCGCTCGCATTGGACAAAATTCTACGCGCTCACGGACCTTTACACGAGTAGACCCACCTCTATATTTTGATTTAAAAATGTCAATTAGGATTCTTGTCTTTAATCATTATGTATGCTACGTACTACACTACTCATGATACGTATGTGATTATGGTATGTACTTACGATTCGTATTTGCTCTGTAATAATTCATATATCTTCGGGAGCATCAGTAAACAGATATCTAAATTCCATAACGACCTGGAAATAACACAATCACAGATAAAATATTTTTAAGGAACAAACAAATATCACATTTTGGAATAAAATTAACTCACGGTTTGTGCGCCATTATGTTGAGTATATCCAATATTACTGATGTATCTTCTAAGGCGATAATTGATTCTAAAGCTGACCGTAAATTTTTGTTGATTCGAACCGAATGGAATATCTGAAATAAGAAAAAGAAATCATATTAGACATTATAGGTATAATTTACTAATTTATAAAAATCGCAAGTAAGTTTGATAACTAAAAATGAATTTTATTCGGTAACAAGTTAAATTAGTGAACAAACAAAATATCTCCGGTGGATACCGTCTGGTTTTAGCAAGCCTGCCGTCGTCTCAGGTGGTGTAATGTGGTGGTGGTAAACAACATCTGATTCTGCAAATCCTGCAGTAGTAGTAGACACCCTAGATAGATTTGTTTGATAAGTAGGACTGACCAGCAAGGCGCGCTGGCGGCCATCATGGAGTCGTAAAATCGTTTTTATCACAATACATTTTTATGTTACTAGCTCTCTCGATGTCGCAGTCGTCTGTAGACTAGAAATGTTACTGACCTGCAAGGCGCGCTGGCGGGCGGTGAGCACGGCCATCATGGAGTCGTGTCCGCGCATCATGACGCCCAGCACCTCCTGCTCGCTGGGCTCCGCGCCCTGTAGTACTGACCTGCAAGGCGCGCTGGCGGGCGGTGAGCACGGCCATCATGGAGTCGTGTCCGCGCATCATGACGCCCAGCACCTCCTGCTCGCTGGGCTCCGCGCCCGCGCCTCGTGCGCCACGCCGCGCGCCACCCGCGCCCGCGCCGCGCTGCAAACAAATAACATGAGGTAAATGAGAGCTATCGTATTTGCCCTCATCAGTTGCGTAACTGTAGAGGGCTTGTCACTCGTCTGACGCCATCTGGTGAGCGCCCAACGGGAGGAGGACTATCATATCGTAATTACATTTACTAAAGTAGCTCCTCTGTAGAGTGAGTTATGTCACTCGCCAGTGGCGCCGACTGGTAAGCGCAAATACGATATACCCCTCACTGATAAGCCCCACCCATCTGGTGGCAAAGCGTTACGTGGAACAGTGCTCCTTCCTTCCCTACTAATCGGTATGCAAAATCATGCATTTTCTGGTGTAAAAAAGGTTAACCCTTAAGCACTCCTGCACACGACGCCGCCGCCGCGCCTTTGCACTGTTTATACGCGTCGCGTGAACACCGTTGCCGCGCCGCTGGCGAAATTATGCTTTGATGGCGCGGTGGCGGCGCGGCGGCGGTTTTACTCGGCGCGTAAGAACAGTGTAGGGGCGCGGCGACGGCGCGGTGGCGGCGTCGTGTGCAGGAGCGCTAAATGTCTTTTTTTCATTCATGTGCTACTGATTGATACAAAACAGTCAAATTGGCGTAACGTAATGATCACACGTATCTTTACTACTTACAAAAATCGCTTAAAAATTGTTCTACTCACCGGCAGAAACTCGTCAAGGTCCAATCCGACTGGGCGGTCCGTAGCGAACGGTACGAACTCAGGCTCTGGTTCCCTTTCTACGGCGTCCACATTGCGGGACACTGGAATACTTTCACGGACGACATTCTCCACTCTTCGCCTAAATCCAAAGTAATTAAGACTAAATAACACAAATCAAATCAAATAAGTTTATTTTCAGTATAACTAATAGTATTTTACAATCAAATAAAAATTAGTGCATGGTAAATCTAAAAATTCTACTCCAAAACTTACCTAGTTGTTTCATTTGTTCTGGTAAAAGACAACGATCTTGGACCCAGGGATGGTGGTCCTAAACATATTTCACTGTTGCTTTGACGGAGATTGCTATTGGCTGCAAATAATACATAGAGTAGGTTACAATGTTATTTAGTAATTCATAATTTAATTCAAGCATCAAATGTTAATGACTTACATATTTCTGTAGTGGATTTGGTCTCTTTATAGGAATTATGTCGGTTAAGGGTGCTCGCAGAGAGCGGGCTGGCAGCGTAATCTCTTATGACGGAAGTTTGCGCCGTCGCAAACGTGTTATCCTCTTTAGTATTGTCCATCACCCCTGAGTTAGGCAAATAAGCAGTCTTATGAAATTATCGAATTCAGTCAATAGTCATTTATGTTATGTATGTATATGAGTTTTAATTAATTATATTATTTTATGACAGATTCATGATCATGTAAGGTTAATACAATAAAACCACAATACGATTATGAGTATTCAAAATTGTAAATATCGCAAATAGCAAGCAACATGTCAGTAAATTAAATTGACTTTTTACGAGTGTATAAACTTAGCATAGTCTGGGACTGAACATATTTTCTGATCTATCTGTAATTAGTCTAATAAGCGCTTTGAAACCTGTATTCTGTTAGGTTTTAAGAGGTTTGAATTATAAATAATGGGAAAGATCGGAGAGTAACGTTAAAAATCCGAGAGGTGTAAATAGTTTATTTGGTCGCATTTATTACGCCGACCCAAGTTCAGAATTAAAAGTGGGTCGTATTTAGCCTCTTCGCTACAATAGAGAGGTATTATTAGCTTACGATATTAGCTTAACTAACAAAATTATGGTCACTTAGAGCAGTGGTTCTTAACCGGTGGTCCGCGGACCACTGGTGGTCCCTGGAGGCATTCCAACCTTGGTCAAAACAACTTTAAACTCATTTTTGCAGTCAAACTGGTTTACTTTTGACCGATTATGATTATGAGGTGGTCCCTGAGAAGACAGAAATTTGGTAAAATGGTCCCTCATGACTTAAAGGTTAAGAACCACTGACTTAGAGAATCTTACTTGAGAACAGCTCCGCCTTCTTATCTAAAGCGTAGTGTTCCTTGGTAGAGGTGGGTATGCGCGAGTAGTCGGTGCGCTGCCGCTGCGGCGGTGAGGGCTGCGGCGCGGGCCGGCCCGCGCTCTCCTCGAGGACCAGTCCGCGGAGGCAGTTGCTTACGCTCGACTCCAGCTTTACGCTCGACTCTTGCGCTGGAAGACAGGCGTCAAGTCATTTTGGCCCATAAAGATATAGTGGTGCCAACTTATGCGCTGAGTTCGAAACTCAGTGTTTCATCAGAAATTTACACACACAAAAGTAATCAAAAACAAATAATCCACTGCGGTATCAGTACTCAACGTTCGAATAATCTTTAGTACTACGCAAGCAATGTATAGTTCCAAAATACTGAACTATCCTATTCATGAAATTGACAGCGGGGCGCCACCGTCAATACCGGATCGCTGGTTCCGATTTTTGCCATGTTGGAAACCATATAATATGTATAGTTGAACGATGGTAGCGTCCCCCTGTCATTGAGTTTGGTGGGACAGTTCAGCGTGGGTCATCTATAAACTGATTACATTATGACGTCCCTGCTGTCATCATTGCTGTCACAAGCAATGTGTTCTGTTTATGGGCATATTGCTGCGACACCGGCCCCGCCCCCTTGTCACACCTCCCTTTACTTTTGTGATCTGTGTTTAGGCCAGTGGGTAGACAAGTGGCACTTTTGGATCTTATGTTGTAACTCTATACAAAAAAGGCCTTTCCACATTACAACTGTCACGTTTTACCACTTGTAGGGGGTTAGTTCGGATACAGCGATGATCGGTCGCTAGGCTAGGCAGTTCTAATACATTTGCATCCTACCATAACTACATGGTTACCGCCTCACTGCCTTGCCAGTGAGAATCACTAAGAAACCGCGCAGTTATCGCGCGTCTGAACATGGCCTTAGTCTCCATTGCTTGAGAGCGACACTCTCTAATTTCATCATCATCATTCATCATTTTCAGCCATAGGACGTCCACTGCTGAACATAGGCCTCCCCCAACGATTTCCACAATGGCCGGTTGGTGGCGGCCTGCATCCAACGCCTTTCCGCTACCTTTATGAGGTCGTCGTTCCACCTTGTGGGTGGACGTCCTACGCTGCGCTTTCCGATACGAGGTATAGGGGAGTAGGTACTCTCTCATTTACCAGAGACAAATAGGAGATTTGGCAAACACGAGATAGAGCAAGCCTTATATTCGCATTTTTCGGAAGACAAAAGAATGAGATATTGATGTAGATCTGTCATTAGAGGTCAGGTAGTGGTTGACTTTGGCAAGCAATTTTAATTTAAACTTCCAAGTTCCTTCCAGTTTCTAAATTCAAGGTAAGGCTCAGAAACCAGTTAATTCGCAGTGTGACCTTAGCCAGAATAATGAAGGTTTCGGAAATTAACGCACTTTCTTCTACTGGGATAGTTTGGTTTTAATTTATTTCTTGAAGACAGTTAAACAGTACAGACTAAAAGTTACATAGGAGTCTCTTTAGATTTACTTGTACTGTTTTGAATTAGTAATATACAAGAAATAGGCCAAAATGTAAGATTATAGAGCTGGAAAAAACTTACTTGGTAAAGAATAGTCTTCGGATGATAAGCTGGTAGCCGGCGGAGGCGTACGCGTCACTGGAAGATAATAATGTGAATCATTGCTATCTAAAAAGAAACTGTGAAAAGTGGGAAGTATACTGTTATTATTATTGACTGGTTAGTTGGCGTTTGGGGTTAGCGGCTTTTGTTACTATTAATTACATTTAGCTCTACTCACATGATCTAGAAGGTCGGAAAATTTCAGTGTAGTCATTAATATTAGGTATAACTGCACCTGAATCCTCATCGGCTTCTGTCCCTGATGTAGATTCCTCAGCAGTTTTTTCGTCTAACAGTGTTGGTCTATGCATCACTGAAATTAAACAAAATACATGAGCAAACTTCAAGAAGCAATATAAATCAGATACAGTTTAAAATAAAATTTAAGCTTTAATAAATAAATACTTTACCTTCTTTAGGCGGTTTTTCCTTTGAAAAACTCTTTCTTACAGAATGTCCCTTTTGAAATGGTGAAAGGTCTCTAACTACAGTAGGCACCATAGGAGGTGGACCACCAAATGGATGTACTTTATTGAGATCAACAACAGATAACACTACATAGGTTGAATGGAATGAACCAGCAATCTGTAATATCAATTAACATTTTTAAAGATTCGATAATTAGCTTAATAACATTATGTAAAATTCTGAGTATCCAAATAGGCTTGCTACAAATGTTAAACTTTATGATAATAATATGACATATTTCATTAGAAAACTGCATCATTAATAAAATTTAGTTTGTAAATTCCATCCCATCTAACTTACAAGTTGTGTTTGAGCAACAGTTATGTCATGGATTTGTCCCCAGTGTCCGTGCACAGTGTCCAGCACTCTAGCAGGCTCCCAGCCAATGACATGCAGTCCATCGTTACCACAACCCAACAATGTAGTTCCATCATCACTGAACACCATATGCCTGGAGAAAGTATGCCAAAAACATTTAGTGATTTACTGAGTGAATTTAAGTAATAGTTTCCACTTCATTATTGTAATGAGGTTCACCTTATGGAAGTATTCTCTTTTTCAAATTTAGAAACTAGTTGAAACTTCTCCATGTCCCAAAAGTTGACAGTTCTATCTGTGCCACAGCTCGCTAACAGGAACTCATGTGGGTGAAATTTAATGCATGTGACAGAAGCTGTATGCTCCATAAACTCCTGCAAAACTTTCCCTACACGCACGTCCCACACTTTCACTAATCCTGAAATTAAACATAGTTTATTACATTATATGCTTGATAAAAGTTGATCATACTTCATAATTACTACTTCTTAATTACAACACGATTTGCAAAATATTGATGGAAATCACACACTATTCAGTAATGGTTCGAAATGAATTAAACAAAATTATTCTCAGTTAATCTTACCATCCTCACAGGCTGAAGCAATCCATTGTCCATCAGGGCTAAATTGTAAACTATTAACAGCCAAGCGATGGCTAGAGTAAGTCACAATGCAACCTCTTTTTCTTGTGTCCCAGAGTTTTATATTACTGTCACAGGAGCCTGTAGTTAGGTAGTCTCCATATGGATGGAAGTCCATACATTTGATGGCACCTTTATGTCCAGTAAATGTTCTCAAAAGTTTTGCTGCTTCCAAGTCCCAAATTTTCAAGGCACCAGTTTGTGAACCAGCACAAACAAGATCCTCAGAATGTCCAAAGCAGACACACTCTACAGGAGTCGTATGTCCACTTAAGCTCTGCAATACAATGGAATTCATGGGTCAATTGTTATGGAAATTATGCACTAATAATATGCGGTCCAACAACTTAAAAATCATACAAACCATTAAGCAGCTCTGTCGGCCAATAGCCCATAAGTTAACCTTTTTGTCATCGCCTCCAGTTGCTAAAACTTGGTTAGACTTATGTCCCATCGCCAGGCAATTGACGTTTGCCTTGTGGGCGACAAATTCCTCTGCAAAAGTAAACGATACCATAAAGAGGTAAATAAATAACACACACAGTATTTACGATTTCGACAAATACTCACGTAATTTCCATGATCTTCGAACAGATTCCATCTTCAATCAAATTTAATTCAAACCCATTCCTAAATATTGTGAACTTGTGTTTAGTGAGTTTGGTCTTACAAGCACGATTTTTACCACTTGTCAGTTTTAGTGCATACAATTTATGTAATAAATTCTTTGCAATGTAGTGAATATAGTAACTAGAATTTTATAAAAATAATTTACAGCTTTTGGGGACAAATCAACAAACGAAATAGCACTTTTACTTTTTTTTTGTCACTGACTGAATCTGAATGACATTATTGACATTTCCAAAGATATTAAAAGTTTAGCGCCAAGTACTTGTAGTTTCATTCATTTCAATTCATCATTCGTCACTGAGCAAGTTCCTACTTTGATCTATTCATTTCATTTATAATATCTTTGATTAAATTTAGCATGAGCTTTTAATAGGGATGTTACACTTTCTTGCCTACCGATTGTTTTTGGGCAAAATCATAAATACCGATAAGTCAAGGTGAAAAAAAACTGGTATGCATGCGCCACAATTTGCACTTTGCAGTTTGCAGATAAAAATACAAAACTAGCAAAATGGTTATTTTTTCACCATTATTTGGATTACGATCGTTTCGAAAATTCCCACAGTTCCGTTATCTCAATTATATTCAAGGTCAGGAACCGGAGCCTAAAATTAGAGAGTACTTTTACTTCATTGATCATCAGGGTATGGTAAGAACTTTGAACTTTAAAAAAAAATTGCTGCCCGAAAGTTAATTTCGGTAATAATCATTATTAATTTATTGCAGTTATTTCTCGATGACGCACGAATGAAAAACTTTACGTCCTGTTTTAAAGAAAAAAAGTTTCTTGAATTTTTCTTTAAAAGAATTCGTATTAACAAGACTGGAAGATACGAAAATGAATTTCCTTACATATCACTTTGTGGAAGAGAGAGGAACTTTATAAGATGTGATGATGTGCCAATTGTTTTCACTCACATAATAACTAAAGAACCAAATGGAAAAGATTTCTTCACTTATGGCTATGCTGGAGAACTTTTAATGAGCCCATTTATGCCTGATAAAATATATATGCTACCTAATACAGGGAGAGTTTACCATCCAGCAGATGATAAGTTTGGAGGTATTGGACTAGTACGATCCAAATTGTCTATTGAGCTTAGTAAACATTTTGAATTTCGAAACGGAGAATCAAATCCACCAACAAATTTCAAATGGAAGGATACTAATTATGACTTAGACCAACAGTGGTTTGATGAGAAGGTAAAAACTAATAATATAAAAATAAAAACAAACCCTGATTAACATTAATTATACCTATATTGTTATTCATAAGATTTATAACTTAATGTTACATTGTGTGTACATGAACTTATAAAATAAACAGTAAAATAATATGTGATAATTCTAGATTGTGTAGTAATTAAATAAACTTAACAAGTTGTATCATTATTTGAAGGCTATTTCACTAATTAGGACGTTATTTTATAAGTTTATTTGTTCTTAGTTTACTTTATTTAAGGCCAACTTGTTTTAGATACTATCACAGTTAATTCATATGGCATTTTAATGTTTAAATAGGATTATTATCTTACTTCTTATGAAGTCTTGTTTAAATTTAATTGAATATATTTCTGATCTTGGCTATGTGGTTTCTTCTTTTGTAAATGGCTGATATGATCCTGCTTGTACCCATGAAATTCCTTGATTATGACCCTCATTTGGCTTCGGAGGTTTAAGCATCATATTCTTTGCTGGATCATGGATTTCTGGATCATATGGTTTAAACGTTATGTAGTGTTTGTCTTCGGTGGGGGGGTCATCAAACACATGATCTATACTTGATACAACACATTCCCTTACTTTGTCCAAGAAGAGTTTTCGATTTGATTTATACCTGTGAAAAGAGTCTTTTGTAAACAGTAACAAATAATTTTGAAAATAATAAAGCACGTCATAGAAACAAATACTCACGCAGCAGAAGCTTCAATGTTGGAAGGGACTTTCATGTTCAAATTATGAAATATCCAATGTAAATATTTCAATATTTGCCAAATATGGTTTCTTTTACGATCCCATTGTGGAAACACTTCACTTAAGTTTAAGGTGCCTGTGTTGGCATCAACTGCTGGATGGTAAAGACTTGGAGTAAATGTTAAAATCTGTAAATTTAAAAAGAAATTAAAATTTCATAAGTCAGCAATATATTACACATTAAGTAGAAATAAAATATCATCTACCGGTACTTCATCATCTGGAAACTTTTCAGGTAACGTCAATGTGAATCTGAATATTCCACCTTCATATGAACCAGCTCTGACAAATATAACTCCAAACCATACTGCAATAAATATAATCATGTTATGGAGATAAACAATGCACAGCAAGTTGTGTAAGTTAGAAATTGTTGCTTCACTTACAAAATGAGTTTTCGTATGAGGGGATTACATAAATCCCTTGTAAATTTTCTGTTTGCAACATTCGACTGCAAAAAAAATGGAATACATTTAACAAAACTTATACAAAAAGTAAATTAATGTAAGTACTGTGTAACTGCTTTCATGCTTACTATTCAGCCATAATTATGTATTCCTGGTGAAATAGTTCCTTAATTTCTTTGACATTATTATTAGATTCTTCATTCATTATTTGACGATAAAGTAAAGAATTTTAAAGTAAATAATTTACAAGTTTACAACAATTCAATAATTTCTATTTCCAGAAGACAGGAAGACAGATTTTAGTTCTGTCAGTCCTGTCACCTGTCCTTCAAAAATGACAGCATTATTTTAACGTTCATTTGGAGGTCTAGTGTAGCTCCTTTAGATGAATGAGCTCAAGCCGTAGCTCAAGCTAAATTCGATTGTGACGAATAAAAGTCGTTCTACGGTGAACGGGAACCGGCGGGAATGGTGAAGTTTTTTTTAAATCCATCAAGAAATGTCCGAGAAATTAATGAGGGTTTTCGCGAATGAAAGATCCGCTAGATGGCGGGACGTGGATGTGGGGTCTGAGCTGACTGCTGCGTGATTGGTGGATTTTGACATATCTGTCAATGTCATGTCAAAAATAACCAATCATGCAGCATTTGGACCTCGCGTCTACGTATTGCCATCTGGCGGATTTTTCATTCGCGAAAACCTCATTACAGGAACTCAAACATAATATGCGGTTCCGTTGGGGCCCTGTAACTTTGTAGAGATATTTTCATGATTCTTTCATCACAAATATATTTTCAAGTTAACTATATTAGTAGAAAAAATTTGAAACTTCTCCATTAATGCTAATCCCAATCCCAACTATATATATAATATATAATATATAATTATATTATATAATATATAATATATATAATATATAATATATATAATATATATATAATATATAATATTATAATTTAATATATTTAATATTTAATATTTTAATATTTTTAACACATTGAACGCCAACGCGGTCAATGTTGTCCGACACTGCACTTTCCTACCAGGCCAAGTAAAAATTTCAATTTTTTTCAATTTTCGTCGATTGTTTTTTTTTGTTAAATCGTTACATTATAAACATAAATAAAGGATTTTATTAACATATAGTTGTTTTTGAGTCTTTACATCGAATTATTAAGCGTCGGACATCATTGACTCCCATGGCCCCAGCGAGCGAAAATTCGAAAATCCGTTCCGTAGGGCCGCGCGGTCATGTCGTCGACCATCCCCGCTCGCATCCAAAAAAAAAGGAGAACAACCAAAAAAATAAAGAGTTGTACATTGGTAGGTTTTTGATATATTATATTACGCATAAATAGGAATATTATAAGGTATAAAATGAGAAACGAAACTAGTAGGATAAGTCTTAAATAGTGATTAAAAATAATAATAAATAAATCGATGATACCGTAAAAGGAACGCTAAAAGTGNTATAAGTTAACAATAGTTATGTAAGCATGGACCTATAGGTCCATGTATGTAAGTAATAAATTGTTATTCTTTCACGGTTTCTCTCACTACGAGTAGGTATTTAGACTTTATTGTATAGTATGGATGGATGGATGTTTGTTACTCTTTCAGGCAAAAACTACTGAATGGATTTTGTTGAAACATGCAGCATTTTATTTATTTATTAGAATAACATATGAAAGACACTAATTCATAAGGTTATTGAGTTAATTATCCAAATGACGACAAGTGTTAGTTAAGTAGCCGGTCTTTCTGTCACAATTTCTGAATTTCAAATAGGTGAAGTCGCGGACAAAAATTGATTGATTTAAGGTTCGGTCAAACCAACGCGATCACACGCGATCAACCGGCGTGCAGCGATGGCGATCAAATCAATGCATTTAGGTCTGGTCGCCATCGCTGCACGCCGGCTGATCGCGCTGTGATCGCGTTGGTTTGGCAGAACCCTTATACCTAAGTACCTAGTTGAATTTGCCACCTATTTTATATTCTCCTTTTCTGTATTAATTTTCCAAAATTAAATTAGTCTTACATGTATCTATTTTAACAATAGCTTATTAGAAATATCTTTTATCTCCCCTCTTTATAAAGCGTGAGTTACGCCCTTAAATTGTAATTAAATTATTGAGTTCTCGATCGATAGGTTGTTGCATTGATAGACACCGTTGTCGCAGAGGACTTCGCGAGGGGATATATTCTGAGCACCTGATGATCCCGGGATCAGCAGCGTTCGCCCTCAATTAGCCGGGATTATCCGCACGTGGCTCAGGATTATTGCTTACAGTTCCATTCCCACTATTCAAATACCTGCATAATTGTATTTATTGATTTTACCACGTTAGATACCTAATTTATTCGTGATCGTCGCTCATTGTGAGACACTAAATAAAAGTAGCCTCTTGTATGATATAGTTTTAAATGCTAAAAGTTATTTTTATACTTGGTCAAAAGGATTGCTTCTACTGCTCAAATGCAATAACTTTCACCAAGGGACCGAAGTACAAATAAGTATTTCAAAAAATAGCTTTCCGATTGTACCTACGAATGGTCATACTTAATACCTACTAAGCAATTAGTTTTTAGTATGAGGATTGAGGACGTACACCTAGCTACCTAATTATTTTTTGAGAATTTGATATCGGTCCTGAAGGTATGCAGTCGTATCGTGTTTGAATAGTTTTGTTTGATCAAGCATAAAAATAACACTCTGTTTATCTGTTTCTAGATTCGTGGATACAATCCTTTTCTTCTGTTATGTTATTTGTTTGGTGTGCAATAAAGTGTATTTATTATTATTATACAATCAGTATCAATGCTTTATACCTTTAATAGTAATTAAATAAAGGGAATGTCTAAGCTGTTTACAAAATCTGTCTGTTCTCATTGATGCTGAATGCGTTCGCCCCTTACACCATTTACAAACATTATCAGTTCCTCAAACATCGGCACAATGTATTTCGCTTTTTAGGTCCCTTTTTTTGAGCATCGATGCAATAATTAGAAATTATAGCTTTACAATATTGTTAACTTCTTGAAAAAATATCCTGCTCTCCACATAAAACACATTGCAGGTATTACATAAGGCAAACTTATGCCATTTGGCATTCTCCTCCACCTATCTACTTATTCTATTCTCAATGAATACCATGATAGGTACCATAATATTATTGAAAATATTAATCCGTACAGGCAGTAGTGCAGTAGAATCTAGAATTGCCTTAGGCAGGCTTGGTACGTCTGTGTGCTCGTTTCCTTGCAACATGTTAGTTCTCGTTTTATTATAAACAATCAGTTAATAGTGTTTTATGTCGGCAGTAATATACCTAATGTGTTTTATGACAGCCGTTTTCTTCGGAGAAAACAGACGTTAATTCGAGGAAGCATATGGGTGCGATGGCGCTCTCGGGCTCAAAGTGCCGCCGGCAGCGCCTCGGTCATAAAACACCATCATTTGATGTGAGCTCTGCAGCCCAGCAGTTTGGGTCTGTTGAATAAACAAACAGCTTTATTGGACTTCAAACTTCAATTAAAATGTAGACATAAATAGCTGTTTTATTTAGAATATGAAGTTAGGTTTAGTATATGAGGTTTTGCAATACACATCGTGCGCGAAGACAATTTTATTAAGATACAACAACATTCAAGATTAAAACTTCAGCCGTCCATTGAGATTTAAGTACCTAACAGTGGTAAGAGGCATACTGTTTGTGTTGGATCATAACGATAAATAGTTAGTGTTACCGAGCAGTAGCTCTATTAAATGAATTTAAATTTGATCGAGCAAGTAATGCAATAGGAGCTCGTGTGCTCGGAAGCCACAAAAGGCTGCGTCTCGCGAGCTACTCAAGTGTGACACGAGACGGTCAGCTCACGCATCTCCGAGAAACCTTAGAACATACAAACTTCGGGATGGTGTCACATTCATCTACCTTTTACCAAGTTGTACTGGTCGTGTTCTGTGGTTACATGTACTCAGCTACTAGGCGTGCAAACAATATTTTGGTCCTATTAAGTAAGTACGTAGATAAAGTCGTAGATCATGTCCAGGGCAAACTAACCTACTTGAGAATAAAAATGAAGAAGAAATTATTAATTCACCATAAATATGTACCTACATTCACCTCTTAGTTGGCCCCTTTTTAGGTAAGGTACATGTATTAAAGTAAGTATTTCGAGACAAAAGGTCTATCATTTCCTAGGTACGACCTAGTCTTATTAATGAAAATGTTAAAAATGTAGTTACTTTTGCGTTCAAACATATGTAGTAGCATCCTCCGTTAGAGTGGCTCTATGTAACATTATTTTTACAATAAAGTAAAATCAGGATCAAAATTAGGTTTGTAATCTCCAGAGCAGAGGTGAAGCCCGACTACAAAACTTTATTGAAGGAAGCTCTAAGTGATGCGATGGCAAGTGGATGTTCCCACGGTCGGTGCGCGGATTACTCGCATGCCCTTTCGGCGTCGTACAACACTGACCTGCGCTTTTTGCGCAAAAAGAATCGCCCGATAAATCACGGGTTCATTGTGTACACGATCTGGATAAAATTCCCCGATTTTGCCTTATACAAGTCCAAGTTTTTTGCTGGCATCGATCTGAGATGATGTCCAATAAAGGAGGTACCTGCTCAAATTTGACCGTCAAGGTGCCGTGTGTCACAATAAGACCTGCGATAACATCTTCCTAATGCTCAGTTCCGCATAAACTGTAACCTTAGCTAAAGGCATACAAAGTAAGATATAAGGAAGGAGATTATTAGTACCTATCTATAAAATGTGGACTTTTGTGCGAGTATAAGTAATTCCTAAATCTCTACCTATCTCTTACTTACATAAAACGGCTGCTATTACATTAGTAGGTATTATATAAATCTGGTAAACAAATGGTTAAATGATGTCCTAATCAAGAAAACCATGCAATAATGTACCGTACTAATGTTAATTAACAATTAACATAGGTACAGAAACTTTTTCACTACATTGCATCAGTAACATGCCTAAGTATCTACTTAATGACGCCCAAATGTGCCCAAATTGACAAACAGATATGTTTGTATTGTGCAGGAATCGAACCCGCAACTGGCATATGGGTTTGGGTAGTCCTGTAGGATACGAGTATTATTTATGAAGTGGAAATATGGAAAAGGGCTTAAAAGCTCGAGTTTTACCAAACTTACCTAAAAATGAAATGTTAGCTGTATTACTTACATTTGTTATTTTCTAAACCTACTTGTTCCTAATTATAACATAAACATTAGCTATTAGAAATTACTTATCTGGTGGGAAATTACAGCGATAGTTCCTTCCTCCTAAATAATATATCGGGTGGTCATTACAACAGTAACAGCGTTGCATTTAATTTCCCTGTGTTTAGTAGGGGCAATCAGGCATGAGTTGTGTTCAACGAGCATGAATGTGAACATTTCCTTTAGTCGGCTAAATTGCGTATAATGAGCGAGGGCGGCGAGGGGCGGCGCGGGCGCAGCCAGGCACAGGTGCTGCGCGCGTGCTTAGATCTGACGCTCACTGTTCGTTTGTGCCGTATAATGTAACCGGGCATCGGCACCTAATTACCCTTAATTTTGTAACGGCAAAAGAATGATCGACCCTAAACTTTAACAGGTAACCGAATAGAATAATTATTTTAATATGGAATCGTAGCTAATTAAACAAAAGCACTACGAGAGCTTTTTCAGAATAAGTTTTCTTTTTAGTAATTTGAATTTCAATTTTCCTGAATCATTACGAGTACCTATGTAGGTAGGTTTTCAGTTGTTGATTTTACTGTACATGCTAAGAAAGAATTTAAGGAGCTTTAGTATTATTTATATGTATTACTTAATATTATGCTGCTTAAATTATCTAAATTGTACTTAATTTACAACAAAGGTTATAGATTCTGTCCATCAAAAATGTTTATCTACGAGTAGGTATTTAACCTTGTTAGTTATTATTAACCAAATTTTTATTACCAAACGATTTTTTGATTGCAGTTATAAATCGGATAGATGTGAAAATATGCACATACTTAAGTAAGTATAGTCTATTTTAAAAGATGCACTATGCAAGCCAAACTTGTAGCACTTGCCGTTGGTAGTGGTGGAAAAGTAGAGGGCAGAATTAGTCGCTGGTTCTTGAAAGAAAAATAAAACTACGGCAAGTAAAATATCATAAAGATTTATTTACATTACTATCACAATCATTTAGAACCTATTATAAAGTCAACTTAAAAATAAATAACACGTCTTACAAGTTAAACAAGAACATAATTATGACGAAAATAATATAACGATTGCGTACGAAATAATTTTAATGATCATATAAATACCAATTAATACTCGTAAGTAGGGAAGAAATTACTTATTCATTATTAAGATTTTGAGACATGGTACAGTGGTACTATTGTATAAGTTTCGTTCTAACATAATGTTAGGTAAATATACGAATGAAGACATAATAATATTGAAGTGGTATTTATCAGATTACAATTAATGTAGTCTATTCAGTAACCAATGTGTTTGATACATTAAAACATTAAACACCTACTTACTTACAAGATTCTTCTTTGGAGTTCTTGATCAATTAGGTTTTTGGTTATGACAGAGTTTATTTTTCTCACTTAGGTAAGTAGACTTATTTGTATAAACTTTACATTCAGGATCATATTACGAGTAGAGACAGATATACAATAAGTTTTTAGATAAAGGTTTATTAATAATTTGATCTAAGTTTTCTCACTTTATAACAGTTACTTAAAACTAACATTGCAATAAGTACAATCTACAGTTATTACGATATTACTGTATAGTACTTACTAAGATATAAGTATAAAAATTATCATCTATTAGGTGTGGTTTTTCCATTTTGGTGAAAATGTCATTGGCATAAGCTGATTTAAACTAAATAACCAATCACCGTGTTTTTAAAAATGACGTAGGTTGTTAAATATCAAATCAAAGTTGCAAATTACTGTTTTCCCTGCTAATCAACAAGTTAAGTTGATCTTGCATTATAAGCAACAATGAAAGCTCGATAAAGCTCTTAAATTGAAAAGAAGAGAAAATCAGTAATAGAAGTTTGTATACCTACTACTTACAGTTGGTAATGATGATTAGGTTTTTATGAGTATCTAGGTTCAAAGTTATCAAAGATTTTTTGATGCCCCTAAATCTTATTAGGATCCAGTGGGCAAAGAAGTTCCGTGGCAGAGCTTAAACGTAAGTCGCGGCGAATCCATTAGTAAACATTGCAGTCACATTGACAGGTGATCTTCCGCGCTATGTGCCAACGTGCAATGTATCACAGGATGATCTATCTAGGAGATGAGAGCACCCTGCGAGTGCGGCTTTATGTGGACGGGGTGCGGCGGGTGTGGATGCGCAGGATGGGAGGCGTGAGGCGCGCGCGGCGGGTGGCAGCGCTGCGCGTGCGCGTGCGAATGTGCGCGCAACTCATCCCCGTGCTCGCGGTACGCGCGCTGCTTGTCCTCGAAGTCCCGCAGCCGCTGGTTGTACCTCTCAATCTGCTCGCGCAACGCCGCGTCCTCGATCGCCGCGCGCTCCTCGTCCAGCTCCAAGCACCCTGCACCATCCAGACGCTCCAAGTCTATCCAGCCGCGCCATCTCACGCACACCCCGTTCATTATGAACCGCGACACTATGTGCACCTGATAACAATAAAATACAATTATTGCCAATATAAACGCACGTTTAAAATAGACCCATAAATTTTAAGAGCCAGTGAGCTATTAATTTATTGGAGCGTTGTAAAATTGCCAGAAATGAGGGATGAAAGCAAGCAGTCGACTTGAGAAAAAAGGTCAACGCAAGCCCAAACAAAAAATTAGGGCACCGTAGGTGGCGAGGAATGGACGGACCTTTTTTTGTGAAATCACATGTTTTACAGAAACAGTCCATAGCAATATTGACGTGGACGGTTATTCATCCGTTAGGTGATTTATGATCTCTCGAAGTTACGATAAGTTAGATTACTTAGATAAATTCAAAATTGCAAAAAAGTTTAAATTCTTGATGTGATAAAACTTAAAATTAGGTAGATCGTAGTCATCGTAGATCATTAAAAGTGTTTTGGTTTCACAAACGTAAACTTAATATAAAATACACGGTAAGTAGGTAATCATGATTTTAACTTCAATTGCATAGAAAAAACAAAATTGATAGTAGGTAACAGTTCTTTATTTCCCATATTATGCAGCATTAGACTGTCTGAGAAGTGATGAAGTCTGGGAAGTCATGGCTTCTGTTTCCAAAGAATTATTTTAAGCTTTAAAATAAGTAGTAACCTAATTATTGTTTGAATCTGCATCGCCAGCGCCGTCTGCGGCGACAGAAGGCAGGCGGCGCGCCATCGCGTGCTGCTTTGTTCCGACATCCGCTCCAAACACACCCAAATTGTGGCAGACACTCGTCAAGGATGCAATTTTGCTAATTACAACCTTTCTCTGAACCTTTTGAAGCCACCAGCCACACATTGTTGGTTGGTTTCGGATGTGGAAATTTTAAAATGCAAGATAACCTTCGCAATCTATAGATATACAGGGTGGAAACGATAAGTGATCTCACTCGATTATTTCTAAACTATACAAGATATCGAAAAACTGGTTACTGATCCTGAAAGTGCTTGACGAGCTCTTTCAAACAGTACCAATAATAGGTTACAGAATAAATGGGAACTATCCGAAAATTCAATGTTTCCAGCTTCCATACTAATTAAGTAAGTATGTTCAATGTTCATCACTATACTCGTAGTTTGATAATATTGAGATTAAAATCAAAATCAGTAGTAAAAAACGAAAGCTCCAAAAGCTCTCTTCTGCAGAGATTTATAATTAGAAGTGAAAAGCAGGCAAAGGGAAAATGGCGGCCATTTTGTCTGGGCGGGAACTACAACCCTCCAATGGAAAACGCGCTTTTCCTGTATCGATTAAAGGGAAACATTCTGCCCCTCGCCCTAAGCTGTCCTGGGACGAACATGACATGATGCTCTCAAGTGGAACATTCAATAAAGTCGGAATTGAAAATGTTTGTAGCAATAAACGAACACTATAAATCTTAATTGCGTTTTTTATATTATTCATGAATATTTTATTCGTGATTGTAGTAAATTATTCACAAGTAACATTAACTATCTTAAATAATATCCAAGATTTTCAAGACGTTTAACTTTAAAATTGTGCATAGTAGTGAAGCCTACATTTCAAAGTTAAATTATTAGAGTCACGACTTGTTGATATTATTTTACAATAGGTCTACCAATATTACATCCGATAATCCTATCTAACCATGTCTTGAAAAATCATCACAAAAACTACTTGCTGAAATATTCTAAACAGAATTCAATTTAAAAAAAGTCAATCTGAATGTAGGAAGCCGTTATTAAAATAAGACATCCAGACAGGGGCTCGAGAGCACTCTCAAGCGCGTAGTTAAATGAACCGAGTGTAAATAAATATAAGTATTCATACAGAGGCGCAGCAGGCGGCCGGCCGACTGCGAAGGGGGCTAAATTCAATAAAACACGATCAAATGGATTCAACTAACTGTAACTTATGCATGGAACTCTATTGGCAATAAAGAGATTTTTCAAGGGACGGTTTTTTTCAGTTGTGTACATAATGTACGAGTATTTGGCATAACTAGTAGATAAGAGAGGGCTCAGTCAGAATTTCTGCACACGACTAACGTCAATTTACAATACTTATTTTGTTTCGACTTCATATCGTTAGAGCTTTACATTTTCATGTTACCTAAGTAAAATTCCCTGAAAATTATGCATAATTAAACTCTGAACTATTAAAATTGTTGCGGCCTGAAAATTTTGCGAATTAATTAGTTGGGCTAATAGTTTTAAGGACAAATAAAAGAGAAGGTAAAGAGGAAGGAAGAAAGTATAATTGTAATCATATTGAAATTAGGAAAGCTAAGCTACTTGAAAACGTTTTTGGGACATGTTTTTATTGGAATTAATTAATACATTGCGTTTGTTTGTATGCCAATTAATAAGTACGCAACTGTTAGTGTGAATGTACTAAAACAATAAGGATAATAAACTGAAAATTAATGCATTACCATGCTCTATCGCATGCGGCACATTGGTGATTCACAATAATCGTCCGGGTAGAGAAGATGTCATTCACTTGAGCATTGTATTAGGCCAGCGGGCGCGTGACCGACGCGTTATGCGCGGTGTTACGCTTTGTACTTTTTCATATGCGGCTTCAAAGTTGTTTATGTCTTAATTTTGGACATAGAAATGTGGACCGGAAGCAGCGGCCGTTGATGACGCGCCTTCGGAAAGTGACGAATTGCGACCATTAAGCCAGAACCAACTTGGACTCACAGATTTATTCATAAACCTTCAAATTATCATTAGGTGGTAATGATAAAAAAGATTAGAACTGCATGTAGATGAGCTTGATGAATGGACCTATCTTTTTCGATATTAATTGGTATACTTAACTATAAATGTACCTCGGAGTTAGGACTTCGGTTTTCCTAAGTAACTTACCTAATTAAAGACTAATTGAGGGACGTTATAAAATAAATATCTAAATTGCAGATAAAAAAGGCAACGTGTTGAAAGATTACTGAAATTCTTTGTACCTGCATTTTGTTTCTCCAGACTAATAGACTGATTTTATATGATGGCCGACAGTGTTTAATTATAATATTTATGTTTTTCCTCATTTAAAAGTTGGGTTATTATAACTGAACAAAATATTTAATAATAAGTTCCACTCAATTAGTAGCAATAATAATGTCTAGTTTAAAGTTATTGTTGACTAGCTTTCCTCCCGCGGCTTCACCCGCGTGGAATTTTGTCTGCCACAGAAAAACTTTATCGCGCGCGTCCCTGTTTCAAAAACCAGGATAAAAACTATCCTATGTCCTTTCCCGGGACTCAAACTATCTATATGCCAAATTTTATCAAAATCGGTTCAATGGTTTAGGCGTGAAAGAGAGACAGACAGACAGATATTAGTATAGATTATCTTGGTTGCTCGTATGTGTTCTACTAATACTAAAACTCAAAGCTTGCTAAGTTCTTTACCTTGCCGTTCTCCTTCTGGAAGTCGCAGCCGCGGTTGTTGTATGGCGAGTGGTCGAACACCAGCTGTAAGTTGGTGCCGGTGGCCGTGAAGGCGATTTCCGTGTGCCCCTCGCGGCAGCCGCTAGTGAAGCGCATCTGCCGCTCCTCTGGCGGCCTGTCGCGGTACCCAGTGTACCGCACCTGCAGCAAACAACATTTTGGTGTTAGGTTTGGTGGAGCTTGAAGAAACATCATCTACCTATCTTATCTAGTGCAGGGCCACGCCTAAACGTAGTGCACCGAGTGTACGTCATCCCATTGTGATCTTTTGTGCTTCCTTTCATCTTTATTCCCTATCATCCGCAAAAATAGGCACTATGCATTATAGGTGAATTAAGTGCATGCACTTAATTCGGCACCCACAGGTGAGAGGGATCCTAGTCTTCTAGTGCCGGATAAGCCGACCCCAGGAGACCCATCCTTGCTAAAGCGTCAACCATACTTATAAAAGACGAAGAAGAATCTCATTAAATCCCACGTTTCAGAACTTTTCCAATATAGTAAGGCACAGTAAATGTGACTCTACACTATAGTTACAGTAATATCTCTGTGATTGAGGATTTCGGGTGAAGTTCGCTTCCACCTTTGGCCTAATCATCACTTTTCATCAGAAGAGATGCAGGCCAAGGGCTTCTTCGGTGTTGAATATAAAAAAGTTGTCTGTTTTTGTGTCATAATTTGAATGCAGGGTAAAATATTTTTTTAAACACTGAAAATCTGAAATCTTCTGAAACAGACTTGAAATTGCAATTACAGATAGTTATTGGATGCAATAAAAGCTAAGCAGATTACTGCTCATATTGAACAGTTACTATCTAGAAGGTTGTTTTTAAGGGTTAGCGTGTATGTGACTTTGGAATTCCGCAAGAGAGTATGACGAGATTTTCCTAACAGTTAAGCAATTTTTATGTATTTTAGTATACCTAAAAGTGACGTGATGAAGTAGGACATATTTATGGAATGCATAGTATAAAATTAGTTACTGGGATCAATTACGACGGTGATTTTGCAATTTGTTTTACTAATTTTGGAATGAACTCCTGAAAAGTCTGGTTCTTCGGTAAAACAGTTTCATAATTAGGGCTGAGTTGCACCATCTTACTAAAATTTTGACAAACGTAAAAAATCTGTCAAATTCCATACAAAAAGCACCGGTTATAATGGTGTATTTCAGATCATACGCCTTGAAAATTAAATCGGAAATACCTATTTGTTTTAAATTAAATCACCATGGCTTTGGCTGTCATTAGCGTTTGAATGTCGTGCATCTTCATATCTATATGGAATTCTAGAGTTTTTAGGACAGTTTCAGAACTAGGTCCAATTATGTAAAATCTACTTTCTTTTCATAGATTTCTACTAATTTTCTATTTACAAATTACTTGCATCCTCGTTAATTTCGCAGTAAGTAGGTACCTAAGTAAACTAAATATTATGCTGTGTTAGGTAAGTCTTAAGAGTAGGTTCACCACAATTTTAAAGCTCCACGGGAATCGAACTAGCAATCTTTCTACAGCATTTCGATGCAGAAACTTTTAGACTAGTTTTATTTAAAATCTGTATAGCCGTCTCTATAGATGTATTTTCCTGGCCTAAAGAATTTAAGCGTTGAGAAAATCGGAAAACTTTTCAGTAGTGGTTTTCTTTTTAGGGGGCCAATTGGGAAACCGGGTGTGATAACTGTGATTAAAAACTAAAATAAAGGCGCTACTAGAAAACTACAAAAGCTTCGCAACTTACTGTAACCAGTTGGTGACGGCAACCAACCACAAATGTTTTGGTGTTGACCATGATTTTGCAGAAATGAAACAAGTAAGTAATCTATTTGTTTTTTAATTAACACACCATAATAAGGTAAACGGCTACTAGTTCGTGATAGTACGTAAGTTCGTAAGTTTTTTTTCTAGCTCAAATAATAAGCAAATGGAATATTATTTATAAAAATTCTTCATTACTGCAAAAACTCTATTATTTAAGCTATCTAAAAAACCAAGTACCAGCATTGTGGCGCCAAAAATGAGAGTAATACGAAGCTTCAAACTCTCAGAGAGCCAAAAACAGCCGTGCGGCTTGCAAAGGTTGCTCTCACCGTAAGGTTAGCGCTCCAACTTCTTAAGCTTATAAAAAGGCGAAGGAACGTCCATTTAAATAAAACTTGTAATAGTGGTTTCATGTGTTCCTTGACAATTGATTTGGCTTAGAAAAAAGTTATATGAAAACGTAGAATTCCTTTAAAATTGCGATTAATTGACTCACGAAATAGCGTACATATTATTTTTCGTGTGTCCCCTATTTCGTGACACTACCGATTCAAGGATATTATGGATAACATTTTGATGCTTGGTTTTTAAATAATTATTTATGATAATTTAAATGTAAGTTATGAAACAAATAATGCATTTATTTAAGTTTCTCGTGACCTAAATTCGGTATATGTTTCGTTCACTAGAATTTATATGACACGAGTTTGAAGTTCACATATATGACCAATTTTAAGATAAATTAGCATAAATGCATAAAACCTTATCCCGAAATAGGGGACATGAGTTCACGAACTTAGAAACAGAGCAAAATTTTGTCACGAAACAGGATCCAAACAAGAGGTCCGCAGAACAATTAATATAAAAAAAAGTTCAAACTATATAACTATAAATTATGTATTAACTTACTGTCAAATGACCAAAGTTTAGCATACAAAAGCTTTCATACTGATATCATGCTTGGTTATTTTTAAATAAAATGTTAAAGTCGTAAGAGCCTTAATATACCGAAGTAGGGGGCACTTACCTTATCTACTTACAGAAAAAAGTGTATCAAGTGATGCGTAGGTACGGCTGGTTTTAAGTACATACGTAAGTATCGAATATGCAGTGTGCAGTTAATATCGTGCACCTCAAAAAAATAAAAAGACACAAACTCCCATTTCCTTTTAGATGTTGATTGCAATGACGGAATCGGTTAAACTATCGTTTAATAAGCATCCAGTTTAATGTTACGTTTTCAATATTTTAAGTAAATGTGATATTAATTACTTAAACCGTACGTTTAAGCTGGCGTTCAAATGGCTAATCAAGATTCATTTGGCTAAAAGGAAACAAGAGTGGTGACGTAATTAATAATAAAATTTTCCTTGTCATGCTAAATTAAACTATTATTGTATTATTTGCCTTTCATTGTTAGGGCTTAGAATATAAATGTATGTTTACTACGTACCTCGCTTTCCCTGCTCAGCCTTTTGAAGAGATCATCGGATTCGAATTTTGCTTTTTGGTCAGGCACCACTCGCGGCATTTTGAAAATAAATCTCGGTTTAGGTTGCTCGTACAGTCCAATGGAATCAAAAGGTAACATGCCAGCCAAAGCCGTAGGATCACTCATTGCGTGCATAACACCACGACACGACTACCTGTCGCCACGACATTCGGGTACTGAATAAGCGTCGCGCTGACGGCCGGGGAGAATTTCCATTAGGGCGGAGTCGCGCTATGGAGGGGGCTCGCGGGACCAATCGCGCGGGCCCGCAGTGCCGCCCGCCGCCTCCCTGAACGCTTTCGGGAGCTTTCGACCGAAAAGAGGGTTTTCCCCCCTCGACACATTTCAAAATAAATACTGTAAATGACAAAGCACATGAATGTATAATGATGGGCATTATCCTCATCTGATATTTCGAGTGTTTTATGTACTTGTATCAGGGCTTTGTTCCTTTGTTGCCAGATATATGCCTTTGGACATGTTTGAGAGGGGAACACGATCCCAGGATTCGATAAAACGAATGAAACGTGATATTTTTGTCAGGCATAAAAGCTGCATTTATTAATATACTTAAATGTAATTGTAAGATAAAAAATAATAATAAGGGAGATCCGTTACGACTTTAGGGTTTAAACGTGCCCATTTTACTTTCAGACGTGACGTTGCTGATACAGTAGTCCCTCTACCAATTCGGACTATCATTTTGCTTTTAGGTAAGTACCTACATTAATATTTCTCTTTGATTTGTTCAAAAAGCATTTCTTCGTCTGTCTACTATGTTATCCACTATCGAAACATTTCATTTGTTATTTAGAATCTCCTATAATTGACGCTAAATGAATGGCACAGATCGTTTCATACAGCATGCAGATAAGCCATCCTTTAAAGGTTGGGCAGAAGACTGATACGCCTAATGATCTAAGAGCCGGCACTTTAATGTGTCCCGTTTAACAATAAACGCGAGGAGTGCGTCAAATGTATCAGTATCCAGCGATCGGCTGCTGATAAGGGCCACTCGAAGTGTTGGCATTGTTATGTTTTGTTACGGAAACTGTTAGTTAAGGCAGCGAAACCGTATTGAGTTACGCAGATAAGTTTAAGAAGGAAGTATTTTATGTGCACGATCGATAAAAAAGGCTTATTAACATGACATGTCGAATTGATAGTGTCCACTACTGTAAAAGCCATAGATCTCAGTATACCAAGGATACCTAAAGACAGTGACTAGTTATTACAGTTCTATGAAATTATTAAATGAAAAATGAAAATAAAGCTTTTTCTCTAAGCTTCAAGAATTTCCTACTTTAAAAAAGTTATCAGTGATTTTTTTTTGATAAAGCAGAATTTCAAGTTTCAGAGCATTTAAATAACGTTGTTGTAAAATTAATATTCGTCGTCAGGCTGGCACTACTTATTTTCTATTTTCAGGACGACTAAGTATCACTCACTATTTTTAAGGTCAAAATGATGTAAATGAAGCATCAAACTAGTCAAATGACGATATTGGATCTGAAACTTCAGTTCAAATCGACACCATCAGAAAATTAATAGCTACATTCATTTATCTGTTTACTTGTAGTTTACAGAAACAGAAAAAGCTTAAAAAGCAACGAAGAATAAACTTTAAGCTTTTTATGAAAAACTTAAAAAATCTTAGTCATCAATCGGCTTTGTACCTCCTTAATAAGGTTTTCAATGTTTTCAGTGTTTTTGTTTTTGCCTTTATTACACTGTACTTACATTACCATTCATGACTGTGAGAGCGACCGGGGTTTTGTTATAAGTAAATTAATAGAAGAGATCTTACAATTTTCTAGAGTTAGATTCACAATCGCATAATATAAACTCTAAATGAGGACAAAAACCGTTTGAAATAGTCACGTATTTGCTAACGAGGGTGGTGGGCACGTGTCGCGCGACCGTGGCGTTTGATCTTGGAGGAGGCTGGCTGTCGACACGGCGGCGCTCTGGACTCACAGCAGGCTCCAAAGTGATAAAATATTCTCCCAACCACGTATGATATTAGCGCTGTTATTTTTCATATCTGATTTCAAATTGATTGATCGAATGCAAAACCGTTCTTTCAACACTCCGATTTTTGACTCTATGTCTATAGGTCGGTTCATTAAAGTCACAGCCATTACTTTTTATTGATTTCTTCTGCTATTTATGAGATCCTCAATTCGAGAAATAAGGCTGAGTTGTCACTGATACCATAAAGAACCGACTGCGACATCAGACTGATTCCAAGCAGAAAACCAATATTTTTTATTTTATTTTATTTTATTTTATTAGGGACAACAAACAATTGTACAAACGGTTTTACAAAAAGTCTTACAGATATATCTTAAATAAATGCACAACCAGCACCGTTATCCACGAAAATAACAAATAGAACAGCTACTACGGTCGCACACGTTTGAAGAAATTATTTAACTAATTTTAAGTTTCTGACAATAAATTCCATGCAAATTTTAAGTTTGGTAAGTTATAAATAATATAGGTACCTATCTACAAGAAAAATCATTTGTAATTGATTTTGATTTCGTGATCCAAGTAAAAGTATTATGTACCTATTCTGTGGTAAAAGTTATGGAACCATCTCCCTTACGTGCCTATTCGTCGCATTTTATGAGAATTGACTCTTTTTTATGCTGACAGTGATGATCCGGAAAAACTTAAGGAAAATTAAAAGAAAAGTGTGCAAAGAAAAAGTTAATGGAAATGACTTCAAATGACACGAACGTTTTCAGACATTCTCAATAGGCCCTATAGATATGATGTTTATTTACAGAAAACTTGGTTTCTGCAAGGTTTCTGTTGTCCCCGGGGTACTCGTAGTATTTTTTTAATGAAGCACTAGGACTAGTACTAATTACACTGCACAACAGCATTTCTGATGATTGGGTTATGTTACATGATATTAGTCCAATTTTTAATGACGATTTCAAATCTGTGATTGAAATATCCGTATCAGCTCTGGTTAAAAAAATATGACACTTGGGTCTTTTTGTAAAAAAACACTATTTTTTTAGAGATGATCCTATTTTATGAAGTTGTTAAGTTGAAAAAACTTTCTTTTATTTGACTTCCTTGCTGATGCTGAAGGCAGACAGCTCTTCTGAATGATTCAACAGCAGTCAGCCATCATGTGTGCATTCCAGTGACCCTGATAGCGTCCCTCTATCGTACGAAGGCCCTGGTGGATTTGCTCGCCATGTTCTTCACTTAGATCCTTAAGAGTTGTGATAAAATTGTTCAGGTGATTGCGAAGAGAGTATAATTCGATGTTTATATTACATCCAACCAAAAAAACATGTTTGTAAGTGACTCATACGTTGTTCGATGTGTAAGAATAGTAAGACTTTTTCGGATTTTCCAAAAAAAAAATTAAAATGCCAAAATAACTCATTCCATGTCTTTTCGGAAGACTTGAAGATCCTAAATCTCTAAAACGATCGTTTAAACCATCTTGGCTACATGGTTTTGAAAATTTCGGGTCACATTCAAAGTCTCTACCACACTGACAGTTTTCGCCTCAAAATCCTCATGTGAAGTATCAACATGAGGTTCAGGTGACTTCTTAGGGTTGAAAAGACGGGTCGATTAGACACGATAAAAGCACTAAACGAATTTTGTTTACTTTTAGTGCGACATCGGGTCGTAAGGACCTGATAAGTTTTTTTTTTCCAAATATTTACTGTGTTTGACGAAACAATTGCAAAACAATATTTATCTTTCGTACTACTGAAAAGACCGAATATGTATATCCATCCCGCACCAACGCATCCAGCACCTAAGGTCAATTCGACCCGATAACGCAGTGTGAACGTGTTAAGTATGCTTTTTTAATAAAAAGAATTATCTTTGAACATCAAGTGCCTTTAAATAGTTTCCATCCTTTGACTACAACTTAATAAAAATAAGTACCATAACATAATTATTTTGAAGATTATTTGATATAGACAAAAAATAATTTATACAAATCGAATTATTTAAAAAAGTATCACAATATTGAATATTTGGTGCTCATTTCTTTTATTTTTGAGGACCAACAAGTAACGATCAGATATAATTTTTACATCTCAAATTTTTTTTGCGTAGTTCAAAAGAGGTTAAAATATCGATCGATTTCATTTATTTTATGTCTCAAAGAAAGAGGATCAATCATTAAAATAGATGACCATTTAGATTTTTTTATTTGCCGTTTTTGCTAATTTAAAAAGATCATTTAAATACATGCCATTCAGAATCAGCGACGTCAAATTAGTAAACATCATGTAATGAAAGTCAATCATCAGCCAAAAGTTGCAATTTTATTGTGCAGTGTTATCTATGCTACGAGCCTACGATTTGCTACGATTAGTTTTTAGGGTTTTATTTCCATATACAATTACGATCGTCGGGCTGTAGCTGGGTTCTATTGTAATCATTGAGTTATCACAAACTGTGACTCTAAAAAGTTTATCTTTAAAAGGAAACAATGATTCTTTGCCAATAATACCAGTACTTAATACGAATGACGTCCTCCTACAAACAATTTTATTAATTGTTAGATAACAGTGTTGTGGAAAATTACTATAACAAAGTCTAGGCAAAACCATCATATTACACTTCTTATAGTTTTTCTTTAGTCCAGTCAATAAAGCATTATAGATGGAAAACTGTAGAACACAATTTCTGACTTCAGGACTTTATTTAGACTAGTTAGGAGATGAACATAGCAAAAGNGATTTTGATTGAATATTCGTATTCGGTGAAATAATAATCACGAATACCTACTTTTTTAAATTTTGTCACTATAGCCACAACGAGATGACGGGAAACCCCCGGTCAGTATGTAACAAAGTAGTAAGTAAGTTCTCTTCCGGAATTTGACAGTCAATAGCAGGTCGATTGTACAAGTATTAATTTGTTTTGTGATTAGTTACAAAGTAAAGTGATACTTACAAAAAATGCCAAGATAAATGTATGAGTATTTCAGACTATGTAGAGATATTCGTATTCGCCGAATAGTAGATTTAATATTCCTATTTGTAAAAATAGTATTCGTTGCATCACTACAAAATAATATCAAAACTGCATACGATTTTTTTCCTGTAATAAACTAAAAAAAATATTCTTTATATCAGAGTGACGCGTTATTTAATATCTCTTTCTCCCGGGCAGGGGGCTCTATAATTGAGAGCATAAATCATATCGAAGAAAGATATGAACATAGTAACCTCGCATGAGGCAGTGAAGCTTGGTTGCTCGGGCGAACCCGTAAGAGTATTAACAGAGTGAATTGTACGAAACTATGAGGATATTTGGAACTGATATAACCTAGAAGCTTTTCTATCAGAGCAGTATTTCATTAAGGTAGAGCCAAAGGCATCTTCTAAATATATAAAAGGAGAAACTGACTGACTGACTGACATATCAACGCACAGCCTAAACGGCTAAACGTAGGCAGTTGAAATTTGGAATGGACGAAGCTTAGGTACCGTAGAGGTGCAATAAGAAAGGAATTCCCGAAATTCCCACGGGAACGGGAATTAGCGGGAAAATCCTTTTGTATGAAAAATCTAAACCGCTTAAGTTAGATGCTTGAAATTTGGCATGCAAGTACCTTAGTAATATCTTATTACATCTTTTCTTTATAATATTATACTGTACTTACACTTAAAATTTATACGCGAACTATTATTATTATTATTTATGTATGTATATTATGCAGTATAGGTTAGTGTCCGTGACTCGCACTCGGCATGGGGCACACTGAAAACCAGCGTCGTGGCCTCCCTCACCGGGGGCCACGGCATATGCTGAGTGGGGTCCCATTGCGATGGACATCGCTGTGCGACAGGGTGGCACTGCTCAGTTTACTTTCACTTTCATTGTAATAGTATGTTTTATGTCACCTATGTCTTATTTGCTTTTTTCTATTATTTACATCTTTTGTTTTCTGTGATGTCCATGGCAATAAATGTTTCTTTCTTTCTTAAACTTAAAGCTTAGTTACAACAGGATTTTGCAAAATTCCCACGGGAACGGGAGTTAGCGGGAAAAAACATTTGTATGGAAAAATCTAAACCGCGTAAGATAGATGAAGGGGGTAAAACGGGATCCACGCGTATGAAGTCGACGATAACATAAAATATCAAAGAAATAATCAACATACAACCGGAGGCTGTTCTTCTGGCCAGTTCCCAACAAGTCTAATCTTGGAGCTAAGTATAATGTGTGTTATTATTTACTAGCTTTTGCCCGCGGCTTCACCTGCGTGAAATTTATTTTGTCACACATCGTCATAAATTATAGCCTACATATAGGCTTATAAACAATAATACTAAAGTTTCATCAAAATCCGTTCAGCACTTTTTGCGTGAAAGAGTAACAAACATCCAGACATCCAGACATTCAGACTTTCGCATTTATAATATTAGGTATAAGTAGGATCTTCGGGGTAATCATTGCACCACTGAACTGAAGTATAGAGCTTGAGACCCAGGGAAAAATCCCTTTTATATTTATCCCTTTTTTTAAAAGAAGGACACGGTATGATTTTTGAAAAAAAAATGTATGAAAACTGCAGGAAAGGCGTTCGTGGTTTTGGCCGGTGGCCCGTGTGTGGCGACCCTTAACCAATTTCAGTCCTCGGAAATTCTCCGTGTGACGTCACTCGTAAAATCCCTAAAACAGCAGGTGATCCCGTCATAGAACCCGTGTTAATATTTAAACAGCAAATGCAGGGGGCATACGAATGTTGGGGCACACCGGGCAATTTGTGAGTGCTCTCCGATAGGGTTTATTACGTAAGTCTGTGTGCCTGGGGTGCAAAGAGGCATTTTAATACTACCTACATCTATACTAATATTATAAAACTGAAGAGTTTGTTTGTTTGTTTATTTACTTGAACGCGCTAATCTCCGGAACTACTGGTCCGATTTGAAAAATTCTTTCAGTGTTAGATAGCCCATTTTATCGAGGAAGGCTATAAGCTATACAACATCACGCTACGATCAATAGGAGCAGAGCAATAATGAAAAATGATGCGAGAACTGAGAACTAAATGTTTTTTACGCGTACGAAGTCGCGGGCACAGCTAGTTATCAAATATTTTGGAAAGCGTCGGAAAATACAAAATAAATATTTAATATTTGAAGTTTTTCCATTTCCACAATTGTTTACAATAACATTTTTAAGTTACAAGACTCACAAGGCTAGTCTTAAAATATAAAAAGTGCTTTTGGTATAGTAACAAGCACGTAACGTGCCTTTATGAATTCTTTATGTCAGGCAAAAATAAAAAGATTAAAATTAAATGCACCTCGATCTCTATGATTCTTACGAGTATTATCGTCGTGTATTTGATAAAACTCTACGATTGTCGATGGCCAAGAAAGTACCTTAATACTTAACAGATAAGATAGGTAATCTATCGCACTGAGTCGCTGATAGGATTCCTTGTCATGAAGTCGCCAGCACATCACCCTTTTGTTTTGTCACACAGTTTTGTTGCGAAATAGCACCTTATTGCAACTACTTAAAAACGCTCAGCGACAACCTTGATGTGCAGCCATCTGTACAGTCCTTAACAAAATCATAACAAAATTATCCTTTTTTAATATTATACATGTCAAAGGGACGGATCACAGATATTTGTCAGAGTACTTTCACGCAAACGGATTTTGATGAAATACATATTATACTCGTAGTTATGATAACTAAATACAGGAGAGATTTATTTTTCTGTTTGTAAAGAATAACTAACTACTTAACAAATTTGCAAATTCTTTCTTTCACCGTTAGAATCCGTCTGATGAACTAGGCATATAAAATGTTTGTTAAATAACGGACCAATTAATAATTAAAATTTTGTCATCTAGCCATTTCTTTGTGTCATTAAAAGAGTTAGAGCTCATCAAAAACAAAGCCATATTTATGATTATGTATTACTAGCTTTTGCCCGCGGCGTTAAATTTGGTTTGTCACAGTTCGTCATAAATTTTAGCCCATATGTTATTATTTCAATAAAAAAAGACGTAGGTACTAAAAAATAATTTTCAGAACATGTACCGAACTGTACCAGATTATAAAACACTTAGATAACCAGTTATACATGCTTTAATCTGCTATTTTTCAGTGATATTCGATGAAATAAACTACACAAGAATTCACTTGTACGTACTTACTCGTACTTGCAATTTTAGTGATATTATTTTAACGTGAACAACAATGGGCTCCACAGTTCAAAGTAAGTGATTATACTTTTCTAAATGCGAAGTTCTGTAACAAATAATTTTTAGGACAATTAAGTATTCAGTTTTATAAAAAAAGTGTCAAGAAAATTTATAAATTACGCACTAAGTAAGACATGCATATTTTTCTGCGAATTAACCTGCGACTTTAAGCGGATTATTAGGACTTTTTAGATACAGTGATTATGTCCTTATTTAGCAGTTGACATGTTTATCCAATAATTTTCTTTCTAAATAAAATAATATTTATTTTTGTTTTTTCAAACAAACCTTCATAACTTTTAACTGTTCTATTTTCAGATACAAATTATTGGCACTGCTACATTTGTGAATTGGATATACCAGCATCACATATTGAAGAGCATAATGAAAGTTGGAAACATAGTATGTATGTATCGATATGTCAAGAATCACTAAAAAGGCTGAACAACCATATTACCGTAAGAAACCGCGATTTATCCCATCGCAAGAAAAGTACGAATATCACAGAGTTTTGTGCCAACTGCTCTGTAATAGTTGAGAATAACGATCACAAAGCATCAAGAAACCACAACCAATCGAAGACAAAAGATGTGCTGATGGAAAATCTTTTTAAATTATACGTTAGTTCCTCCAACTTCAACAAAAAATTCCTCAACGAATTAAAAAATACCATAACAGAACTGGTGACACTACTTAGCACAGAATCTGAGCGAACTATTTCTGATATGAAATATAAAACAACAGAACCACTTAATAATGGAATCACGTACGATAAATATATAAAACCTTGTATCTCGGAAGCAGACACTCAAACAAACAGTAATACTTTTCATAATAGCGAATGTATTATAGAAGTGCAATCGCCAAACAACGATAAAAAGGTAAATATTGTTGATAATAATGATTGTAATAAACATGACCATTTGCTGAAATTAAAAGTAGAAAAAACAATAAGTGAGAACCGTATAGTACACGACCAATTATTGCAAAAGTCTGAAAAATCATCAAAATTCGACTGCAAAATTTGCTGTATTGAAATAGAGGATAACCCAAAAATGATTGAAACACATATAAAATCCTCCGACATGTCTTCCTATTTCATAATCTTTTCGGCGACCGCTTAAAATGTCTTGTCTGCAATATCCACCATGTGACACCAAAGTGCGAATTATTACATATCAATTCTAATAAACAATCAATAGAACCCGCTGCAGTAACAAAGAAAAATGATGACTATGAAAAAGTCATCAACCGTTTGTGTAATGACAATATTATAAAAACTTTTTCTAAACTTTATAAAAACGAAAAGGTAGATAATAATTTAGAAGCAGATATACAAAGTTCTAAAGCCAGTATTAATTCCCCAATCATAAGATGGGATGAAGATGGTGAAAGTGTAGATGGTAAAGACATGATAATTAATAATATTTCGAAATTTTATAAAGACGAAAACGCAGAGGATAATTTAGAAAAAAATATTCAAAGTTCTAAAGCCATTGTTAATATTCCAAAATTAAGATGGGATGAGGATGGTGAAAATGTAACTGGTATAGATATGGTATTGCCAGAAGTATTGAACGATTGTATTTCTGGCAATACCAGTTGTTCAGATAAAGACTATTTTGATTTTGAACGCAAAATGTCTAATAAGAACCGTAAAAAAAAGGTTAATAAAGCCAAACATAGTAAAAAAAAGAAACGAAAAAATAAAAGTAACCATCAAACCGAGGAGCCTCCAGATCCTTTGATGGACATTGATTTAGTAAAAAAGGGCCCAAATATAATCTACTGTAAACTATGTAGAATAACTGTTTCAAATAAACCAGGACATGATTCGAGACATTTTAAAGGCAATTTACACTCAACTGAGCGTCAGTTTTTCTTAACACGAAACAAAATAACTGCCTCCCATTTCTATGAAAATTATGGTTATCTTCACTGCGGTTGGTGTAACATACATTTTTACGAAGGGTTTATACACGAACATGTTTTAAGTGAATCTCATACAACACACATCCAAGAATTAATTGAATATGAAAATAAAAGACTGGAATACTATACGAGAGAAGCAGAACACCAAAAAATCGTGTGTGTAATATGCAATGATGGAAAAAAAATTTTTAAAGGTCTAGGGATTATAAATTTGCACTTTACTAATATGCACCATCTTAATAATCATAAGGCTCTTTTGTTTAATAATGAAATTGAATTATTTGACAACTCTTTGTTTTGTAACGTGTGTAACATCGCTATAGAAGACTTTCACGATATTATCCATATCAGTGATGAATCGCACAAAAGAAATTTAAATGAGTTTAATAATGTATTAAACAGCGATGATACCGATGAAGAACATGAAGTCTATTATTATAATAAAAATTTACAAAGAGAACAAAATATTGAATAGATAGATGTAACGAGTACCTACTAAACTTTCGAGACTTAATATAAACATTTGCTTAGCCATAAATAAAATATATTTTTATTTGTGGAGATATCACATCAAATAAAAAGCATTGTAATAATTTTATTGAAGTAACTAAAACATATTTTGCCGGTTATTACACGCCCAATCATAAACATAACGTAGACACACTTGAAATGTGTTAATGAGTGTATTATAAAAAAATAAATTACCATACACTCGCTGACCAACATCACCTTAGAAGAAAATCGATCGTTTAATCATCTGCTATCTGCGTTCCGTTTTGTGTTGGAGTCAATTCTCAACTTTGAAGTCCTTCGCCCTTATATTATATTTATTTATTTTATTGTTTGGAAAAAAAACAGCATTTTATAACACAGAGTTACTAATTTAACTTTACATTTGCCCATTACACAAAAAGAGAAAGAATATGGAAATACGGAACAAATGCCACTACATCGAATTGCCAAAGGAACCAAAACGTCCACCGAAATCTGCACACAATGCGTGACACTTGGCAATAACGAATCAATTGCAGAAAAGTGTCCTTAAAAGTCACATTGTTGACTTTCTATCATTACGGTAGCTAGCGTGAATTATAAACGTTAGATTACATGACACTTATATCTCTCGTCTCTTCCCTCTTCAATGCTTTCGCGCGGTCAAGTCATAATTCATCCACACTTTTTTTGTCAAAATCACAATTAATCACTTCTACGAGAGCAGAACATACTCGTATTTTGTAATTAAATTATTATTTAATCAAAGTATTTTCATTTTCTTTCACTTTTAATTAGTTATATTTATATTTTGGGTCTACTTTTTGATTTTCTTTGATGTTTATGTAACAAACTTTAATTTAGAATAGAATAGAATAGAAAACTTTTTATTTGCAAGAAAGGTGTACAAGCAGGCAAAACATTACATTAAAACAGAGAGAAATAAACAAGTGGACAATTAACTGCTTGTGCCCCCTGACAAAAAGGCAAACGCTCAGCGTACCTACATCAAGACCGCCAGGGCTTGTCTTGAAACTGATTTTCAGCGGAGGCACTGATTTTCAGGGAATTTATGTAAGATTTTATAAATATAGGTACCTTAATATTAGCTTTTTTATGTATTACCTACGTATGTACAAGCTGCTAATTAAACATAATAATTCTATTGTTTTGTTTGCAAATAAATTGATTAAAAAGATGATGTGTTTATTGTTATTAAAATCTTACTTAAAATCAATTTTAACATTTTTATATCGTCGGTTATATTATTCTGGATTATGATATCCATAAACTAGTTGAGAACGTCTTATTTTAACAATAACTCTATTAGCGATCTTTATTTCGTAATCGTGGACTTACATACGCGAACTTAGCGTGTCGCTTAGCGAAAACTTTTGACTGTGAGACCTTTGTCTAAGCCTGCAGGTGTTATGTCGGTGATATTGAGTCATTACTCAAAGACCACGAGTGTTAACCATATTTGATATTTACGACCAGTGAGTTAGTGGGAAAATATGCTGCAGAATATTTTGGCATCGGCCCACGTGGTTTATTAAGTGCGAGAAGGTATCGGTTCTATTAAAAAGGGAAAATGGTTTTTAAACTCGAATGTGATAAAATAACTATTATGTAGGTACTTGAGAGTTCGGGTAATATGGCAAGCGTTGCTGAATTCAGATTTCTAGCTAAAAATAAGGAGACGAGAACAAGAATTTTGTTTGTATTTATAAACGGAATAATATTATGATGATTTTTTAACGGTTCTTGTTTTTTTTTTTTAATTTTCTTTTTTATTTAAAAAAAGTAGTTAATTGAATCTTATTTCGTAAAGCGTTCATTTATCTGGGGGTGATTATTTTGGCCATTCGTTCAAACATTTTATTTTGAGACTTTTGAGTCCAAACCAAATATTTGAGGAGTCAGGCACAAAGCCAAGGGTCTTGTTTGGACTTCAGTAACCGAGTTATGATTGGGGCAACCCTGCGAGTAAGCCTATACATTATTTATCGAGAGGCACCCCTGGTTTTGCACACGTGTTCTGCACAAGCACAGCGAAGGCAGAATGGCAACACTACGAGAATAAATACAAAATCTATTTACATAAAGGTACTTGTGCTATAACTGCTAGAGGTTACTGCAGCTAACTGACACATTCTAGAAACCTTTTTTTGCCGCAATGACAAGTAGGCACCTTTGTCCATAAAAATAATTAGTTGTAAGTAGTAAGAGGTAAATATAATAAGTTGGAATGATATACTTCTATAGGGTAAAAGTTGACAACACAACATATTATTCCTATCGTAACAAAGACGTGTTGCGAATTTTTTAGCTACTTTGGGTGTCACGAAGTATTTGATGCTGACTGCACGTACTTACACATGCGCCGACTTGAAATATACAATAACTAGCTTTCCGCCCGCGGCTTCGCCCGCGTGGAATTTTGTCTGTCACAGAAAAACTTTATCGCGCGCGTCCCTGTTTCAAAAACCGGGATAAAAACTATCCTATGTTCTTTCCCGGGACTCAAACTATCTCTATGCCAAATTTCATCAAAATCGGTTGCGAGGTTTAAGCGGGAAAGCGTAACAGACAGACAGACAGACAGACAGACAGACAGACAGACAGAGTTACTTTCGCATTTATAATATTAGTTGGGAAGTTGGGATGGGATAATTAACTCTGATTAATATTGTTCTCAAGTAAGTACATACCTAGTACCTACTGCCTTCAAAAAATATCTAGTCGTAATTGATGCCAACTTAACAATTATTAGGTGGAAAAGCTCACAAAAAAGACCGCATTAATAACTTTATAAACGCAGACACCTAACCAAAAGCCTTCTTTTGGTTTGGTTTGATTACTATACTTAGTACGAGTAAAAGCGCGTCCGAAAACGTTCTCACTCTTCTCACAAAGCGTCCGAGCTTAATTCAATTTACCACCACTAGGGGCGCTTGTAATGCAATTTGATTGAGCCACTTATGGGCTCTTTACCTTTCATTACGAGATTCTTCAGCACATTTTTTTCTTTACAGCCCTGAATCGAATTGGAGCGAGTAATCGGAAGAATTCGTAGCGCGTATTTCTTCGATGTAAGCTTAATTTTAGATGAAGAACGTAACGCATTCTTGTATTTGGATCGAAAAGTAATTTGTGTGGCCAATTTTACTATGGAATAGTTATGTATTTACAAATCAAACATAAAAAACTCAACCTGTGGAAATTATTTTGTCCTGCTACCAATAAGAAAAGAGCTAAAATAAGACAATTTAAGTGTACGAATATTGCTTTTTTTGAGATTAGATAGCGCTGTAAATAATTTTTATTTAAAAAATACAGGGTGTCCCAAAATACTGTCAAGTCCAAACCCAGTGGTAGAGCATTACCTACTAGGGCAGTAGGGCTACACGAATCACTACTATACATGGGGGTGATTCGGGTAGACTTGATGATGCTCCACTTCTGGGTTAGAACTCTTTAAAAAATCTGGCAACCACCAACTTTTTTTATAAAAATCATCATTATCATTTCAGCCATAGGACGTGTCCACTGCTGAACATGGCCTATGTTGTTATCCCCCAATGATTTCCACAATGGTCGGTTGGTGGCGGCCTGCATCCAGCGCCTTCCTGCTACCTTTATAAGGTCGTCGGTCCACCTTGTGGGTGGAGGGCGGAGGCGTCCTACGCTGCGCTTTCCGGTACGTGGCCTCCTTCATAAAAATATGTAGACTTAAAAAAGGAATTTCCAAGTTTCAATCAGATGTGAAAACGATTTAAAAAGGGCGTTTATGTTTTTTACAAAACTTTGCGACACTCGAGTAAATGGGGTTGGATGTAACAATAGGGGTTATGGTTTTACGCCGCCTTCGGAGATTAAAAAAGTTTTGCGTTTAACGACCTGAGTGCAGTTTAGATTTTGTTTACAGTTTTTTTAATGGGTTTTGACTGTACAGACATAAAATACTTTTGAAATGATTTAATGTGTAAAAAGTGAACGCTACCTAGACTAGTACCTGCAGCCTAAGTACAAAGAACAGTAAATAGTAATTCATTTTTTTTTACATTTCTTGCATTGATTGTTGACACTAAACTAAAATTCGGAATCTATAAATCTTAGATAACACAAAAGTAGTATTTTTAATTAAAAATTAACTTTTTTTTGTTGTTTCTAGCTGATTATGTAGGAGAAAATATAAAATTAAAAACAGAGAACTTGTATGTAAATCTTTCTGCACATGAGTATACATATATGAAAATGTTTCTGTCAAAAACTAAATGTATTAAATTCATCCACCATAGCATGTAATTAGCTTAAGACTGTCATTCCGTTTTTTGTAAATCCTTCTTGCTTAAATAAAGATTTATTTATTTATTTAATTAAAATGGTAACGATACTCGTACAAGTTTAATATTTTATTTATATTTTTTTCTTTACTCGTATCTCTCATTACAAGTTAACACCTAATGCAATAATAACTATTTATTATATTAATTTATTTTATTAAATACTGTGAATGTCCTAAATGATTGCTGTTGATGTACCTTTATTAATAAATATTATTACCTAATACTTAACTAGGAACAAAATTCAATGTAACAAATTGATCAGTCCCAAGCTCACTGAATATTCTAGCGCGTCTGCGGTCGGGCGCAACCGCATCGAAACGGGTGCAGCAATCAGGCGCCATTGTTCGGTGCTCATTAATATCTCTATGTCGAGAAGGTTGAGGACAATTTCATTTCGTGGGATCTGTTCCAGGTAGGACACGCTACGGAGAATGAGGGCTATCGTTTTTATACTTAACAGTTGGCACCCCTGGCGATTGACAGGACCTTACTCTACAGTGGCGCCATCTTGATGAGTGCAAATGCGATAGTCCTCCTACCACTTTAGCGCTCACAAGTTAGCGCCACTGTCTTCGCTACTAGCAAGTGACAGGACCTTACTCTACAGTGGCGCTAACTGGTGAGCGCTAAAACGATAGCCCTCATTTTGCATGTTAATTTTCAAGATTGGTTCAAATTGTTTGTCCGAAATATTTAAAAAACCGGCCAAGTGCGTGTCGGACTCACGCACAAAGGGTTCCGTACCCATTGATTTATGAAATTATTATTTTTTTATTTTAATTTATTTTTATGAAAGATTACGCGGTAATAAGCGGTTTACGATTTACGAGGCATTAAAAAAAACTACTTACTAGATCTCGTTCAAAACAATTTTCGTTGGTAGTTTTTATAGTAATGTACATCATTGTTTTTTTTTAGATTTTTCATTTAGAAATTAGAGGGGGGGACCAACTTTTTTCCACTTTGGAAGCGTCTGTCACGCAAGCTATTCGGTTTAGAAAAAAATATATTTTAGAAACCTCGATATCATTTTTGAAGACCTATTCATAGATACCCCACACGTATGTGTTTGATGAAAAAATATTTTTTTGCCATTTGGCTACGGAACCCTAAAAAATGTTTTATAGTCTTCACTATAAAGAGAAAAAGAGAGACATTAGAAAGAAGAAAGAAAGAAAATAACTTTATTTTGGCATTACTGTCACAGTGACAAAAGTCCCCGTGCGCGCGCGCCGTTACCGAATTGTGACGTATTAGCTTGAGACAAAATCGTCGGCGTCGTCGAACAACGACGTATCTGCAAAATGTTAAGTTTCCAGGAGAGCGTTTTGAAGTTTTGGAACCGGTTTTTTGTGTCTACAAAAAAAACTACTTGGCTGATCGGTTTCAAATTTGGGGATGTTATAAACATAAAGGTGTTATTTTATATAAACTACGTACCCATCTCCAAAAATACTTA